TATAACCAGTCATATAACCAGCTTTCAAATCGACTGCATTTAATACAGAGTATTTTCTATAACTAGTTGTTGTTGTTTCATGTCCTTTAAGCGCTATTTATATATTCATTTATAGTTATGATGCCAAGAACAGAAACATAACAACAGAAACAAAAAAATGGCACCCATTTAAAAACACTGCTAAAAGAAAAACTGTATAGCAGCGACGATAAAAATTAGCTCCTCAGTGTCACAGCGCTATCTCTTAAAAAGCTAGAAATCGAGTTTCGATGCCTGTGGTGGCCAGAGCACAGATAGCTCATTGTACAGCTTTGCGCTTAACTACAAACAAACAAACAATAAAAGTTTATTTCAATTTGAAAGCGACATAGAATGAAAATGATTTTTAGAAGGTAAAAATACCAACTAATACGTGCAACTGCTGGTACACGTGGGAACAGTCTTTAATAACATACTGTTAGAAGCAATTATGTTATACCGATACATTTGTTTTGCTTTCTTTTATAACTTAGACGTTGTATTACAAAAATGTTAGTTATAGAGGTCATAATGTGTATCAGATATATTTTTCTCTGTAAAATACATTCTTGATTACTCTGAAAGTAGAAATAGTTAACTATGTATGTATATATGCAACTTAATAAGTAAGAACATAATACAAGTATATCGTGTAATTAGTTATACTCACCACCAGGTCAATATTTAGTTTAGTTCTATGTAGCAAGCATTTTCTGATCGGAAGGTAATGTTAATTTTTGAATATGCATTACTGGAAAAATGTAACCAATTTCAAAAGGAAGTTTCTGAACGGTTTTTTTTCCTCTATTAGATAATTAGGTTATAATTTAGTAGTTTTGTAAAAGAAGCAGGATAGTTCCCACGCGTTCACTCAGTACTATATTAATGTTTAGCCTTTTTCTTTTGAAATTTAAACGAAGTATTGCTCAAATGCTCAAGTTAAATAGCATTATAATTACAAAACTACTTATAAGCACAAACTGCACAGTATACTTAAGTTGTGTTTGCTTTTTTTTTATCTTTAGGTTGCCCTCGAACAGGTCCCTCGGGAGGAGGAGGGAGTTCAGATGTACATATTGTTCCACCAGGACCACGAATTCGCAACGGAAAAGACTGGAAACCAAGAGTGCATCAGCCTCAAATTCAGCCTACAGGACCTTCACCAACAAATCACCAGGACAAACCACAGATTGTACCTCCTGGTCCCTATCAACCAGGAGACCATCAAGACAAACCGCAAATTCTACCTCCTGGGCCGTACCAACCAGGACATCAGGACAAACCACAGATTCTACCTCCTGGACCCTACCAACCAGGACATCAGGACAAACCACAGATCCTACCTCCTGGACCCTACCAACCAGGACATCAGGACAAACCACAGATCCTACCTCCTGGACCCTACCAACCAGGACATCAGGACAAACCACAGATCCTGCCTCCTGGACCCTACCAACCAGGAAACTATCAAGATAAACCACAAATCCTTCCACCTGGACCTTACAATCGTAATACACAACCACAAATAGTTCCTCCTGGACCTTACTGGCCTGGTCATTACCCCCCATCACCACCTGGTCCTCCTTGTCCACCAGGCCCACAAGGTAAATATGTAGTAGCTTGTGTAGGTCACTAAACAAATGCTTCTGTAGTAGTACTTTGGAAACTTCAGTAATAATGTTTGATTTTTTGTTAACTCTTTTTGAAAATTTCATCCCTCCTTCCAATAACATTGAAGGTATTATTGATGCGGTTAAGCTAGTTTAAAGAAGAAAAGTAACACAAAACTAGAATACTATTTTACATATCCTTGTTGCATAATTCATTTCATTACAAAATGTAATTTCAAAGTTGTTTTAACCTTGTTGTTATCAATCTATTTCGAATATACATTTTCTAACGTATATTCAAGTCAAAATTCGTGATGATATCATTTGATTTATAATTAATTAGTTTAAAAACTTAAAAATCAAAAAATAAATTTGTAATGTCAGGGTGTGATGTAGAAGGTAAACTCCAAAATAATGTACAATTCCAGTTCCACTAGTACATCAGATTAAAGTTTCACGGGAATGATGTTGCAATGATAGAAATTATCGTCATTTAGTAGCATATACAAACGCATAAGCCTAATAGTTAATTTGCCTTTTTGTATTCTAATTACACTTGATAAAAAGAAAAATAAAGAAGACAAACACTAATAATAAACAAGAAGGAAATTATACACACAACTATATTCCTATATGTCAAAAATCATTCTGAAAACATATAAAGGATATGCAAACAACATAAACTTTGATAAAGTCAGAACACTATTCAGAAGCCACAACCCAATACGATCGCAATCAATATACACACCAAACCACCTAAGGTAAACAAATGAGAACCAGCATAAAACAGCATTCCCCTGAAAGATGTTAATCTGAGCTACAGTTTGATAATTGCAGGATATGAATAACTGTTTATTAATAAATGTGATGGTGAATTGCTTTCCACGTTAATTAGGTCAAACTATTGATTTAAGAGCCTAAGTAGAGGTGGAATATCTGAAATGATGGAATTGTTAAGTGATCTACGACAACACCTCTATTGGATAACTGCGGTTCGAATCCCACTTTGAGTAGAAACATATTTTCAATTAATTCTTATATAATATATCATATCAAAATGTATTATATATGTTACAATCTAAGAGTGGTGAAAATATTGCTCTTTTTATTGTTTGTCATATTTTTTCCAGTATCAAAGTCAGGATGACTTAAGAGACTTACTCAATGTGTTCAGGTTTTAATCAAGATAAAAATAAAGTACATTTATAACAGAAAATAAGTGTTCTAAATAAACAATGATCATTGTTTACGAAAACCATTCAAAAGCTCTAAGCATATAAAAATTATTGTAGTGGACAAAGCTGTTAGTTTCCATGTACAAAATAGCTACATATATAAACTAATGTTTCAATACAAAGTTCACATATGTAAAGTAATATAATATATGTTAAAAATAGCACTTGCGGTATCTGTCGAAACATTTTACATGTACAAAAAAAGCCAAGATCGAATAAAACGGGATCTGCCATATAAATATAAAAATAGTCAAGTTACATAAAATAGCAAACAATGTAACGCTGTAATGTAAAAATAGGTAAGTTAATCAAGAAAACTGTTGAAAATCTACCCCTCCCCCACCTTTTTTTTTAACCAACCAGAACAAGCAGCAACATGAATATTGTTTACTTTTCTCTAGGTTATCCAGGACCACCAGGACCAAAGGGCGATCCTGTAAGTAAAACATTTACAATTTAGTGATATGTTTAAAAGTTCGATAGTAATATATGTTCTTTAACTCGATCACTAAGCCTCCTCTTCGCGACCCTATATACACACTATTACAAACAGAGCACTGATATCTGTAGATGACACGTGATCGGTCCGCTTTGCAAATTCTGTCTTTGAATACAAAATAGTCCCTTATTCTGTATACTGGTTTAAGTATCACACGTAGTTCAACTTGTGGATACACATTACAAAGGAAGTTCTATATATATTTCTTGATTTTCAAAGCACGTGTTCCAGTAAATGGTGATGTCATATACACAATCTTTATTGGAACGTTATCTTTCTCTTCCTTAGCCGCATTGTTGATATAATCGTTGATAATTCGTGTTAAAACTTTTATTGGGAAGTCATTCAAACACAAGTAATTTTTTATGTTTTCCATTTTATTTTTAAATAGTTCAACATTAATACATAGTTTATGAGCTAGATATACGAGAATTCTAATTAAAATGTAGGTTTATAATAAATTGCGATTTCAGATTTATCCTATTTTTTCTTAACTAGAGTGTGTAAAAATGGTAACACGCAATCTCTTTCTTTTTCTACCATGAATTTAATGTTATTCTGCTGTTTATTCAGATAATTCAAGAAATGATCTACTTGTTCTTCACTTTCAAATACCGTAAATGTGTCGTCCACATAACTTTTATACACTATCGATTTAATTTACTCTGGATATTCTTCTAACCATTTTTTTCCTTAAAACACATAAATACATTAGCCAATACTGGGGGCAAACATGAATCCATACTAACTCCATCATAAACCTTACCATGAAACAAACAATGTGCGTATATAGGGTCGACGGTGAGGAGGCTTAGTGATCGAACATAGTGTGTCAAGGTATGCAGAATTCTCAAATAGTTTCCAACATAAAGAAGAATGCATGAATGTAGAAATTGAACAGTTCCAAATTATCGGAAAGGCTGAAAATGAGCAGTGGCTAAGATTAAAAGAAACATTAGCCATAAAGAACTTAGCATCTGAACTAATCAAGAAATCGAGCACTGGTGAGCTTGTTAAAAGTGTGATAAGAGAGAAAAAACTCTCATGTTTGAAATTACCTTGTGTTAGTTATTTAAATAATATATGGCTTGTTAGTCACAGTATCAGTTAACACAAAACATTTTGGTTGAAAAAAATCAAGTTTATAAATCTAAAACATATTACTGTTACGTCTCTGTTCGTTGGTTAATTTTCCGTAAAATTTCTTTCCGATGAAACTTTAGCGATACAAGTCCTTTCT